CATCCACCCCGACCGACCCTGAAATCAAGATCTGAGCTGAAATCGAGGGAGTCAGATGCTTAATCAGCTAAGCTACCCAGGCACCCCTGAGTTATTTAAATTATCCTAATGCAGTGAAAACAGTCTGAACATTTTTTTTACCTGTGCAATAAATAGTCCTCCTAATAAAGCTACTCACGCAAAAATTCATCAGCTGAAATATTGGTATGAACCAAAATTTCAATTCCAAAATACATCTAATTCATATTAAAAGTCTTCTTTTAAAAGGTCAACTTCATGCTGAAGAGGTAAGAAGAAATAATTCACATGGAAAATTTCGTTTAGTGCCTTGAGTATATTTTTAAAGTGGCTCAGTGTCTGCAAAGTGTCAACAGTCACTTGTACTTGAAGAGAACTCATGTATTGTCTTGACATGCCCCTTTAGAATGTGAATCTTAAACGTCAAATGAACAGGAGCTTCCTTTTCCCTCATCTGTATTTTTCATTAAAAAGCTGTAAAAGCTTTTTCAAGGCAAGACTGGTTTTAAACTAAGATTTAGATCTTAGAATCATCTTAGTTGAGATGATCACTTTCCTTTTTTTTTTAAAGATTTTATTTATTTGACAGAAAGAGACACAGCGTGAGAGGGAACACAAGCAGGAGGAGTGGGAGAGGGAGAAGCAGGCTTCCCACGGAGCAAGGAGCCCGATGCGGGGCTCAATCTCAGGACTCCGGGATCATGACCTGAGCCGAAGGCAGACGCCCAACGACTGAGCCACCCAGGCGCCCCTCTTGTTCACTTTCCTAAATGCAAACTCTATACCTGTTTTCTCCCAGCTTATTTCCAAAATCGGAACCTGTCTGATGCCACATAAAAACAAACATTTGTCAGAAGAGTTTTCTTAATTGCTCTAAAATGGAACATTTGGAGGGTGAGTAGAATATCACAGGCTTAGTATTCTTGTAACACGCAAGCCTAAGCTCCACACTAAAAAACATGTTTGCTTAACTGATTTGTTTTACTGTTGGGTGAGCGAGATGGGAAAGAATTTTAATTTTTAAATCTATTATTTAAATTTATTTTATGTATAATACAAATATTTTTGTATCATATATTTATAATAAATGTAAAATATGTAATGCATATACTGTATACACATAATATTTATAATATAAAATATTTTAATCAACATTTAATAAAAATTATTTATTAAATATTTAAATTATATTATTTAATCATTTAAAATTTAATAAATTTCCAGTCTTAGGTCTGGGACAACATCAGAATGAGTTTTGATGCACCAGAGCATAGATAATCTGCTCCTTGTGCACCGCAGAAGCTTCCATGGCATACTATCTGGTTTCTTTACGTGTTATCCTGGTCTCTGATGGGTAAATTCCAAGACAGTTCTAGATCAATGTGTCCACCTCCACCATATGTATCCCAAACAGGGAAAGACTGTGGGAAGCTATATTTCAAAGATTTTCTGAAAAAATTCCAGAGACTGTAGATGTCTATAAGAACAATCTGTGTATGTTTGTAGGAGAAGGAGCTGGGAGAATGCAGCCATGATAGTGGTTTCCAGGTTTGGCTCGACAGCCTTGGAAAACACTGCATTTATTGGCCTACCTTGGGTAAACAGAATCAGACTCTGGGATAAGCCTTCTTGCCTCACTCTAGGTTATTTTTTTTTTTCCTAATGACATTATCTTATTAATCATTTACTGGTGCATGTGAAAGAAAGCTCCTCTCTTATCAATCTTTAGTTGAAGGTCTGAGATCTGAGATTTCACTTAACTTCCTTTCATAATTCCCTTATCTTTTTCCGTAAGCAAATATTTCCTGTCTTACAACTTTCTTTGACACATTTTTCCATTGGTATATTCAGACTGAATTTATGTTGTGACATTTAAAAATTTTATTTCGTAATTAATTACTACAGCACATTTATGAAAGGAAGAATTTTGCTCCCTAATTTATATTAAGAAGAGATACACATTTTAAATGTATCAATATTTCTTTCCATTTAAAAAATTTAAATGACAATTATTAGTTTTCATCATAAAAATTCAAAACAATTACCTGTACTCAACTTGTTTGATAGCTTATTCCATTCACAATTTTTGTTTTTTTTCCTCTCCATTATAAAAACATCTTTTGGTTTCCACATGTAACTCAAAGAATGCCCTGTTAAAGGGGAGTTTTATTCTCTGAACTACTTCAGAGCTCTCAGATTGACTCTTTGGAGCATTGTAAATGAGTATACCTTCCACATCTGTAATAAAAGCTAACGTTTATGAACAATTATGTACCGAAAACAGTGCTAAGTACTTGATCTAAATTATCTTATTTAATCTCCATATCACAAATAAGAACCCAAAGCCTGGGGGTTCAAGTAATCGCCTAAACCAATACACATAGCTTGTAAGTGTCAGACCCTGCAAAGGGAAGAGCAACTTCTAGAAGTACATATTAACAAGTGCTTTAAGACACTGGCAGGCAATGGACTGAAGTATGCAATATTTAGCACTGATCTATTCATTCATATGCTTTTTATTGCACATAGAATTAAAATTAATGTGAGGTGTGCAGGGTCCTAGAAAAATTCAATGTTATGGACTTACAGGTCAACTCATACCAAAGAACATACACCATGCATTAATTCCTTTTGATAAGTGACAGAACTGAGAGTCACAAATTTGAATAGTGGTTCTCTATTAGACTACCTTGCCTGGCCATCTCATATGGGTCCACTATGTTCACAATCATCCTATCCTCTTAACTAAGAGAGACTCATCCAAACTTTAGGCAATTTTATTTAAAACAATTTTCTTGGGAGAAAAGGGAGAAGTTCAGCTATATATATATATTTTTTTTTTTTTAAGATTTTTTTTTTTTTTTTTTTTTTTTTTTTTTTATTCGTGAGAGACAGAGCGAGAGAGAAAGGCAGAGGGAGAAACGGGCTCCCAAGGAGCAGGGAGCCCGATGCGGGACTCGATCCCAGGACCCTGAGATCATGACCTGAGCTGAAGGCGGATGCTTAACCATCTGAGCCACCCAGGCGCCCTCAGCTATATATTAAAGTATCCAGTCCACAGACCATTTGGGTTGCATGTTTCACCCTTTACTTTTAAGACCCATCTAAGGAATAGCAGTTATCTTCCTACTGCCATGCCAGTTTTCCCATTTCGGGTATTTGCTGAGTTAGATGTCATTCTTTTTTGGAAACTTTTTTTCATGGCTCTAATTCGAAGTTTTAAACTCCTGATACATTTAATTTTTTTTTTTTTTTAGATTTTATTTATTTATTCATGAGAGACAGGGAGAGAGAGAGAGAGGCAGAAGCAGGCTCCCTGCTGAGCAGGGAGCCCGATGCGGGACTCGATCCCAGGACCCTGGGATCATGACCTGAGCCGAAAGCAGACGCTTAACCATCTGAGCCACCCAGGCGCCCACTCCTGATACATTTAAAACAAAGATTACTTAGAGTCTGCCCTTGTAAAATAGAGGTATGAAGTAAAAAATGAATTCCATCTCAAAGAAGTTGGGAGAATAGGAAATGCGCCGAGAAACTGCATTAAGTGAGGCATGAAGAGAAGCTATTTCAGCCCTCTTGACTTGAGGGCAGGACACATATGCATTCATAATAAAAGATTTCTTCAGGCTTAAAGATTTTTAACAATAGGAGCTGATGATCAATGAAGGAAAGAAGCATGCTCTAATGATTTTTTTGGACCAGATCAACTTGACCTTTCATTTTTTTCAAAAAATCCTCCAATAAATGCATCTACTCCATTTTTTTTCTCCCAGCATCACTAACAATTATTTTCATTCTCATGATTCAACTGGCTCTCTCAAATGCTTTTGTGAGGAGTGGAAAGGGGAAAGGGAACCATGTTGCTCAAGGAGTGACAGAAATATTCAAGGACTGTGAAGTGATAAAAGAAAACTAATGCGATCCTTTAAAAATCTACCCCATCCCATGTTTCTGGTCATTAAGCATGAGTATAATGGCTGCTTGTACATGATTTTTTTCCCCATCAGTTATGACATGATTGCCTTTAAGCTATCATATCTTCCGGCACTTTTTGATACTTTACAACATCAACCATAATGCTGAGCATGCAAAAGTCCCCTAATGAGACATTTTAATATGTTAGTCAAAGGATTATTTTGGTAGATCAAATAACAACTCTGCTGATTCTTAATTAGCAAAATGCCTGAAAATAGCACATGTGTATTCTTGTCAACAATATATTATTATTAGAACATGTATTGTGACTCGGAATACTACCAGAGGAGGCAAGTGTTGGTTTTACTTAATCTGTTTCATGGTTCCTCAGCTTTGCGTTCTTAGATGGAAGAAAAGGAGAAAAGATAGATACAGATCTTGAAGGCAGATTTAGGAAAAAAGGGAGAAGAAACATTAGGGTAGATTAAGAGGAACGAGTAGACAGACTAGATATAGTGAAGCTGCGGTTCAGAGGAATTTGTAAGACCAATCTGAGCGTTATCTTTACACGACGAGAATATAGAAAATTACTGTATACCTCGTTTGATTTTTTTAGAGGATACAGGCTTTTACATGCATTATTTGCTGAACTTCCAAGGTCATGAAATAGCTTTGTGAACATTCTGGCTAAGCCTTTATAAAACATAGATAGCAATGTTGCTGAGGATATGACGCGTCCAATGATATGGGATGACTTTGAATATGGAATTATATGACTGATAATACCATCCCAGAAGACCTTGTTAAAAATCGATGAAAGGGGGGCGCCTGGGTGGCTCAGATGGTTAAGCGTCTGCCTTCGGCTGGGGTCATGATCCCAGGGTCCTGGGATCGAGCCCCACATTGGGCTCCTGGCTCAGCAGGGAGCCTGCTTCTCCCTCTCCCTCTGCCTCTCTCCCTGCTCATGCTCTCTCTCTCTATCTCTGTGTCTCAAATGAATAAATAAAAAATCTTAAAAAAAAATCGATGAAAGAACTGAGACTTAAAATATTTAGACATATACTCACCCAACAGACAGGAAAGGCTCCTTTGACTCAAGTCTATGAAAAAAATATGAAAAATTAATTTTAATATAACAATTTGCTATACACTTAAAAATTGCTTTTATAGGAATCTGACAAAATTATTATACTTGTTTGGGTGAAAATGTATACGTTAGCACTAATAAAAAGCTATAAATAATATATGAAGATCTAATCTGGACTAATTCAAATTCTGGCTGGCTTAATGCAGAAGCTAATGAGAGGGACTTGGAATGGGAATGTACCATTTAAATGAGACATTAAGATAATAATACTGTTAGTCTAATTTTGATTTGCATTCTCTATATCCTCTTTTCTTTTTTACAGTAATTTGTAGAAGTGTGGATATATCTATTTGTAATTGTTGTAGTGGTAAAGAAATTTATTATGTATTTAGTTACATATTGGCTGAGTAATTGATTTCCGGTAAATATTCGGCAACAAAGAGAGAAACAGCATGACATTCATTGTCATTTACCAACAGTAGCACATTTGGGAGTGGGGGGGGAGGGGGCGAGAGTTAGGTCATAGATTAGGATCTTAATGCCTCCTCTTAATGTCTCCTAAGAACCATGTATTTTTTTTATACCTCCTGAGGAATTCTAATTGTGAAACCTCTGATTAGTTGTGGCATCTTGAGCTAAGCAACTTAAAAAACTTTCTGGGAATTACTTTTCTCATTGTAAAACAGGCTAAGAATGCTTCCAGTTAATTTTCTTATTTCATAAATTAATTTCTTTGCAAAAAGCAAATCAATCAGGAAACTTTCCACTTCTAAATATTCCTTAATTAATAATGAAGGGGATCAATTGGTACGTGTATATTGGCCACTTCATTTTTATATGTTTCTTGACATATGATTATGGGTTAAACATAAACAAATATTAAAGACATTTTTATCTGAATCCTGGTGTTTAAGATGATGTAATGAGCACTGGGTGTTCTATGCAACTGATGAATCACTAAATTCTACCTCTGAAACTAATAAAAAAAAAAGCTCAGAGTTTGGGGATGTACATTTATACAATCTTTTCCTTTTCTGAATTCTGATTTTATTTTCACCTCCCTGTAAATTCTTTGCCATACTGTGTGTTTGTTGTGCCCATATATTTATGATATGAATAAGCAAACAGAATTAAGGGAAAAAATTTGAAGATAAATAATGAAATATATTTGGATATGTTTGTTTTATAAGACATGACCAGTGCTAAGGGATCAAAAGAAGTTACCTTGAAGAAATGAGGGGGATTCTATATAATGTGATGCAGGCGACCGTTGACTTATTTGGATCATCAACATCATGACACTATCACTTCTCCCTTACTTTCTACTCAGCAACACTTAATAAACGGTTTCTTGCTGCCTACAGTGTCCTCCTAGCCTCTCATTGCTGCCTGTTTCTTCGTGGCATCGACTAATCCAGTAGAAGAAAACTGCATATCTTGACTCCTCTCTCTTTTTCATCTTCCACATCGCAATTAGCAATGTCCTGTCAATTTCTCCTTTATGTGACTTTCACATCTCCCTCTTCACTCAATTCCCAGGTGAATTCTCATCACTTACCCCAGCCTAGCTGGTCTCTCCAAATGTAAATTCTTTGTTCACAGTTGCTCCAACTTCACCCGGTTTCACACTATAGCTTCCTTATTGCAATGCCCCCGCTCATATCATTTGTTTAAGGACTGCATGCTGTTGCTTTCATTCAAGGTATCATAAACAACATGAATAAAAGAAAAACCCACCATCTTGCCTTTCCCTGTGCAATTACTAAAACACAGAATGTATTTGGAATAGTATTTACTTACTGAGTTTCCTTTTTTTTTTTTTTTTTTTTTTCCCTGAAGGCTTCAGACAAGCCGTTGTTGGACTGGAGCATGGAGGGACATATGTTGCCCTTCTGATACCCGTGGTTAAGATGGTTAGTCCCACTAACTAGTTAATTGCCTCCTTCTGCTTCTACCACTTCACTCCCTTCAACTATTTCCTCCCAAATGTTCAATAGAAGAACTCAGGGGAAAATTCAAAATTTTCAAAATGATACTGGATTGAGATTCTGATTAATGTTCTATAAACCAGGGGTTGGCAAACCGTGGTCTACAGGACAATTCTTGCTCACCACCTGATTCTGTATAATGCACAAACTAAGAATGGCTTTTACATTTTGTCTTTTATTTGAATATTGTTGACACATAATGTTACACATCAGTTTCAGATATACAACATAGTGATTGATTTCAACATCTCTATGCTCACAAGTGCACATTTTTAAATGGTTGAAAAATATCAAAAAGAATAATATTTCGTGACATGTGAGAATTATGTGAAATTCAAATTTCAGAGCCCATAAATGGAGTTTACTGGGACACAGTCATGTTTATTCATTTACATATTGTTTCAGGCTGCTTTTGTGCTACAGCTGCAAGAGGATTAGTTCTAACAGGGACTGCATGTCCACAGTTTGAAAATATTTACTATATGGCCTTTACAGAAAAACTATGCCAGTGCATGACTTACGATTATCTTGTTGGAAACAACCCTTCAAAATAGGCACTCTTTATTTTAATACGTATCCAGATATTGTTTCACAATTAGAAGCTCAGAATAATTTGAATTCCCGCTCTACATCACCAATTCTCTGCACCTGCAACGGACAGATCAACTCCCCTAAAATGCTATTATCATGTCACCATCTTTCTTGACTATTTTAATAATCGCAAGATGATGCCCCAACTTTTAGTGTGTCACTTGAAAGCTTGTCACAAACATGACTCATGCTAACTTTCCACGTTGCTCTTTCTCACTTCTCTTACCAACCACTTTATTCCCGGAAATTTGTCTGTTTATTACCTAAACATATCTCCTTTGCTTTGGTTTCTTGAAGCGTTCTATTTCTATACCAGAATACTATTTTTTTCTTTCTTTCCTTATGCATGATCTATTTATCTTATTTAAGATCTTATGATCTTATCTATTTATCTTAGTTTATCTAACTCCTTTATAATGCTAATCCTGACACTTCATCTTATAGGGACAGTCCTGTCACTAAGCTTCCATGACTTCTTATCTCCATTACGATGACATAGTCTCAGGACAAGAGTCGGGTTAAATGGCTAGCTTCAAGTCTTAAGACTGGTAAGAATGTTAACCTTGCAAGTCTACTTAGACAAGAAGCTCCTGAAAGTTCTGTGTTAAATCTTCTAATGGCCCAGGGGAGGTGCTGGCTGATGCTCTATGAGCTGAACAGAAAAGAAAGATCATTATCCATGAGTCAGCCTAAGCCACTGAAGATAAGCCCTAGCTACCTGGACCACCTCCCCCAAATATTTTCAGTGGTGACACAGAGCAGGAAATCTGTGAGGAGCCACCATTAGGCAATCCTGTCTCATGTCTCACCTTCAAAACAATGACACATAGTAGAGGGAAGTGATAACTGGCCCACATTGAACGATGCTCTGTTTTGTAACCAACTGCCCAGTCATGGTTTCATCACACAGGCTTAACTTCCCTAGCCTTGAGTCGATTCAGAGATTTGTACGTCTTTTCTCATTAATAATAGAGCCAATATCATTGCCAACTCAAGAAGCTGTTGTGAAGAATATAAGATTATGTACTTAGAGCAACTCACACAGTTCCTGGTACAGAGTAGACTGTGATGGTCAAGACTCTGCCAAAGATAAGTTTTTAGTTCTAAGAGCTGCAACTGCCTGAATACATGAAAAGCTCACTTTTGCAATTTTAGTCCTCAAAAGTGAAAAAGCGTAAAAGAAGAAAATTACCAGGAGAAACATCCCTTTGGAGAATATTGTTCATCAATGTAATCCTTAGAAACAGATGACTACATTGTGATATGCTCAGAAAGAACGAACTTTTTCTGAGTTTTTTTTTTTTTCTAACAAGGTAATTGTTTTGTGAAAAAAAGGATTGATTTTTATCATTCCTAAGATTTACTTTTAACATGAACTGGGTAATGAATTTAATAATACTTCATTCAGGATCTGCTAGAATGAGGGGTAGAATAAAATAAACAAACCATAGCCTTCAGAAAAATAGGCACAGTAAAGAGATAAAGTAAAATGCAAAATGAAGATTAATATTTGGAGCTAACAAATTTATAACTTTTTGTATTTAACAACAAAAAATCTAAGCTGTATTTACTAAAGACCAGGCATTATTAAAAATGCTTTATAAACACTAATTTATTTAAGCATTATGATATCCTCTGAGATAGATTTCATTTTACAGATGAGGAAACTGATACTCAAAAATGCCAGGTGTCTTGCCCAAGGTCACAGAGCTATAAAATGGCTGAGCTAGGATGTGAAATTAGGCATGCTGGCTCTAAAGTCCACCTGCTCATGTCTTGCCTCGTGTATTGCCTTCCATCAGTTTATTTTGTTTGTTTTATTTTGTTTCTACGTGCCTTATGGACTGTCACATTTCCTTTTGTTATAATTTCTATACTGAGAAACCTAATCTGGTCTCACATGTTGTCCACATGCTGGATATTTCCAAACTTTTGTCTCTCGTGTCACTCTGTATATGATGTGTGGCTGTATCTGCCCAATCATACATCTCCAGTTTTAGGTGCCTTCAACTTCCCATGTCCCAGACTAAATATTGCCTGCCTCCCTCATTCTGTTCTTCTTTATCCCTAACTCAATGGCCTAATCAGCCACTCATCTGACCAAACTAGAAAGATCATAATCTTTCTCTTCGACTTCTTTCCAATGACACTCACTTTCAGTAGATCCTCCTAGTTTTGCTGTTTTCTATTGCCAAAAGTCCTTTTAGTTCTTTACTTATCTCTCAATTCGTATTATTGCAGTTCAAGTAATCATCAACCTTTAGGTGGGCTATTAGAATAATCTCCTTAATGACCTTCCTTCCTCAATATTTCTTTGGAATAGCCATGTCTACTAGCAGAATCATCTTTCTAAAATAGCTATTGTACAAATATGAGCCTGTAATTCCCCTCATTACACATCTCTGAGTGCTTCTAGGAAGTATTTTTTCATAAG